ACCTTGCGTGTCTCGTTTGTGCTCGTAGTTACAAAGTAGAATATCACACTCAACTAAACTTCTTCTTCTTTCATATGATAGAATGGATTGATTTTATCCTGGTTTGATGGTTCACTGGAATCAATAGTCCTTGTAACGCATTATCGATTTGTTCGATTAACCCTGTTCATCAATTTCTTTGATTCTCTATGAACCACCCACAGTAAATCAATCCGTCGGTGATCCGGTCTACAAAATTAGACTTTCATAGTATACGGTGTATGAACACGCTGCGAACTAGTCATCATCATCATCATTTTCACCATCATTGTAGTATTAGTAGTCGTAGTCTGGTGATTCTGACACGGCTTTTCGGTTCATTGCACCGACCTAGGATCATTAGTATAGCGCGAGAGAGAGAGAGCACAGGTGTAGGCGATTGATTTTTTACATACAGAAAAGCATCGACTGTAAACAGATACATCTGCTAACTCTAAAATAAAATTTGTCGTAGGTGAATGAAAACCACACACGAGTCACTTTCTGACGTTTTTTCAGAGATAAAGAAAGAAGAGAACGAAGAGGTGTGTGTGTGTGTGTGTGTGACAGATTGCGGAGGAAGAAGGGGATTTGGTCCGGTTAAGGTATGTTGTGCAAGTTGCATTTGATCTGTTCAGTTCAGTTCTTACAACCATTAACTATGCACTATCGTGCGCCGGTTTGGGTTACTGTCTTTTGGTTGCCCATTTGGATAAAACAGCGGAATGATTATTAGAATGTTGAGAGCAGATTCAAGCGGAAGATAGCCCATTTATATAGACTGAAGTTCAAAGAGTAATGAGTAGATGCATGAACGTCACTGTTCGCGACACCCAGCCATATCATTCAGTTTCTCTAACCATCGGTTACGATCATCCCGAGGTCCCCAGCCAGGGAGCCTAACGCGACCTATGTGACCCAGGCTCCTGGTCAAGGTTTTCATACCCTCATGCCAGGTCTTAGCTTGACCACTCTTGACTTTCTTCCACCCACTGCCTGGCTCGGCGAACATCGCTCGTCATGGTAACCTATCTGGTGACATGCGTGGCACATGTCCCACCAGCGTAACCTGGAGCTGAATATAAAAAAGAACCATCGAAATAGTGGATGCTTAGGGGTTCTCATTTCATATCTTGAATTGCTTCCATCGTTTTCGCTCTGGTTGCACCAAGCGATCCAGCAGGATGACCGCAATCTCTCCCTAGCAGTTAAATGAACCGGACTCCGGTGTATGATGAACGAATTTTAAAATAGTTCTCTTGTTTAGAGTACTGTACTGCTGACGAGTCCGAAACAGGACGAAACAGCTGTCTCGGTGCTCTCTGTGGATCATCACAAACATTTCCATTGCATTTGAATAGTATTCTAGTTCTTCGCCTAATTTATTTTGTTCCTGCCACCGGATTATTGTTGTCCGTGTCACATATTTCTTTCCACACCTTCTCTACCGATGTTTGTATATGTTTAGCCCCGAGTGTTTGTGCGAATAGACACTTTTTGCTATCCGGATTAAGTTTCTCACACTGACCGGTACAGATTCAACCCGCCCCACTCCCACCCCATTCTGCACTCCACTCCAATCTATCAATACATTCAATCTCAGTAAAGTTGGTTAGCTGCGAGACTTGTGTGACACGGATTGGGTTGGAATCGAGCGCCGAACAAACATCGAAGTTTTTGTGATTGGCCACGCAACTGACAGTCACAGTCGATTTCACTTGGATTTGTCACGACCGCAATTCACATTTTGTATACACACGTAACGTGGACAAGGAGAAGCCCGGATTTCCGCGTTCCTGAAATTTTAGAACTCACAATGCACTGAAATCATGTGTAGCAAAATCAGCTCTGTTATTCTGACATTTGTATCTTGTGCACAAAGGGAAACATTTCACTCGGCCAGATCGGATTCGAATGTCATCGACCGGGTTGATCGCATGTTGCTCGTCCAACGTTTCGAATTTCCACCAGCCCCGAATTGTCTCTGTCTACTCCACTGATAGATCGGGGCTAGTTTTGCTCCGGTGTGCATCCCAATTCTAATCGGATTTCATTACTTACTCAACGATCACATGTTTTTTACTTCCTGATTGTACCAGAATTTCTGTGCCATCAGTTTCTCGATAATACCGGTGCTGTCCATACTTCGCCTGTTCTGTCCTTCTCACTGACATTCTCTTAGTATTTTTCCACCTTTAGGATCATTCCATCCCGCTTGGTGAGATGACGAATATCACGGTCAATGTTGATCATTCAGAGGCAGTCTTCGGTGTGAAGATTAGCAGTATGTGGTTGTGTTTGTGAGTAGTTGTGCGACAGCAAAAAACAAAAACAACAAAATATCGTTAGCTGAACATTTTGAATAGGTGAAACCGCGTCCGAAATAGTACTTACACTTTGGCCAAAGACGCGGAGGGAGGGAGGGGGAGTTATTTACCAGAAGCTAATTGTAGTGGTCATGTGCAGCCTCATTCTGGTCGGAAGGGTCACGTGCGTTTGAAGCCGTAGTTCTGGTGATCGATAGTTGATCATCTTTCGCTTTCTTTTATCAGACAGTTTGCCGGACGCGTGTGATCAAAATTTGCGTGTACTCGCGTGTCGCAAACACTGCCTTGTGACTGGCGGTGAGCAATCGACCATTCTCGATCAGACCAAGGCTTATACAGAAGCTAATCTGCGAGAAACAATGTGAAGGGTGAGAAGGCACGGAGCATTACAACATACATACACATACATACACGTGCACGAATACAAAAATGTATACCAACCAATCGAAATGTTTAACTGTAATGGATCAATACCTGGTCTAATCATGCCACGACCTCAATGAGTGATGTGGATTTTGTATTTGTTTTTGAAGTAAACATTTTTCTAATTCTCTCTATTCCAGACTTCATCGTTTCGTAACAATTACGATGGTCTGATTTACCGAGTCAATATGTTGATGGCTCTAGTGAATTCTGTAAGTTCTCGTGTGTAGTTCGTTGTTTTCTTTTTCTACGCTAGTCTAATTTCAAACCGCAGCACAACGGAAGCGCAGTTGTTTTTCAAGCGGAGTATAGAATGAAATTACACATTATTTCTAAAAATAACATCTAAATTTGGCAGATGTTTTTGATTTTCAGGAGATTCACTGGTTAGAGAGTGTTTCATCCTACATTGTCACTGTATTCTATACACAAATAAACTGCCTTGGAAGCGCTGTACAACTGTTTCATCCCTATCAGGAATCATTAACGGTTCATATCTACCGAGCATGGGGCGGCTCGAACATGGTTGTGTAAGACTTTAGTCCCGAAAATTACAATTAGGCTACCCTGACTGGGTCCAATCGCCAGGTTCACGTCAGCACTTTTTCGGGGTCTAACTTCCACTACTGATACGATCAAATTTAGCACCCGAATTGGTCGATCCAGTATTTTTAATGTGTTCCAAATGGCGATGAACATCACAAAGTTAGAAATTCTATTCACTCATGAAAATTGTCATTCGCGTGTGACTGGAACGTGAATATCATTTGTTATTTACGTCGTTCTGTCGTGTAACAAGGCCTCCTAGTCGAAGTGGGTAAGATTCGAAGCAGTTATAGAACTTTCACTGTATTTTGTTGCAAATGTTCAAATCAACTGAGAGATAGATATACGGCCAACGCACGGGATTGAAGTATCATGGAGTCCTGAGAAGCGGGTTAATCATGATCATTATCTGCGAGAAATTAGATTGAATGTGAATTCAGTTCATAATTAGCGAATTCATTTGGCACGTTTATTGATCCACCAGCGTGATAATGATTACCTCAACTCGCCACCCCCGGTAACTAGACCAATAATTGTTTCATAGCTATTTCATTATCTGATCTACATCAGGGTTCTAATTTTCGGATGTGTGTGTAAATGTGGAACCCACTGGGAGGGTGATATGCATGCATCTGTGCAGTTGCATCGAGCCCTTAGTATTTTCGAGGTTTTAATCACAATGGGCTTGTTGACATTGTAAATATGCATCCAAAAAGTTGTTTTGTCGTCATAGTAAGTTGTTCTTTATCATTTTTTGTTCACTATCAGTCCTTCCCCTCGATCGAATCCGCCTTGAGGAAACCGTAAAGGAGATGCAAAACATCTTTCCACGACACATTTTCGATAAAATGAGAGAGAGGATGAAAGCGAAATCAAGAGTGTTGAGGAATCTGGTTAGCAGTTTACCGTGTCGGTCGAGTGGGTCTAATTGCAGCGACCAACACCAACTTGAGTCATTGTACGGTTCATTGGACAGCGAGCACAAAGGCTAACAGCTTCGTGTGTGTCTGAGAGAGAGAGTGTGTGTGTGGNGTGTGGGGGTGGGTGGGTGGGTGTCCAGAATGTGGTACGTGAACACCATCGGTGTATCAACCCGGAATGAAATAAGTTGTTCAAAGATAGCTGCTTTTTCTGTTCTCTTGGCGCGGTACCTGATACAAAGCATTGCTATTTTTCCAATCACAGTATAAGCATTCAACACCGAAGTATTTTGGCATCTTTCTCTCTCTCTCTCTCTGTTCTTTCCCATCTGTCTTTCATCTGTCACAAACAGAACATATCAAGTTAAAACGCAAGTTTTGAATCACTTCGGAAATAGTTAAAACGAAGCGATCACATGATTTTTATGAGAGAGAGAGAAAGAAGGAGAGGGAAGACCTACTGTGTGCGCGCGTAGGGAGGGTCCATCCAACTTGTCCTGGCATTCATACAACGGATGTCGTCCGTGTGTTGAATCCACTTATTCACAAATTCACCGCTTCTATTCATCTGGCTTTCCTTATTCTTAGGCTCTTATCCGTATTCTGTTCACACAGTTCACGAGACACGTTTCACTTTTCGCAGTTCAATCCATGTAACCGACTTAGTCGAGCATGCCTCTTTCTGTCAGTTGCCAGCTCGTTTCATGAATTGATTGTATTCTCACAAACTCTATGTCGTCGTCGTCGTCGTCGTCGTCCCATCCCCCACCCCCAACCCCACCGCCCAGTTGTTCATTACATTTCCAATTTCGAACCACCGCACTCCTCAACCCCGTGTAAGGCAAATTCCTAGCTAACTTTTTGTCATTTCGGTCCAAACTTCCCGTCTGTCATCAAACACAGAGACACGGGAAATCGAAACCAGTCTCACGAAATGGGTTACTAACCAAGCACATTACAAGCGGTTCTCCTCTGTTCATCTGTTCTTGTGCAATAGAGGATGTGACAGTTAAATGAAATTACACTAAATATGGAAGGCGAAGTTGCAGGAACAAATTTCCAGTTATCTTCTGTGTTACTGAGTCACTTTCTAATCCCATCGGGTTTGATGCATGATACCTTGAGGGTTTTCTCAGCGGCTCATCACAACAAGCAGTGTTAGTATTGGTCGTACACGAATATGTGTAGTTGCGAAGGGATACACATGCCAGAGATCTGCATACGTCTGGGTTTCCCGGACTGAATCGATCGATATACAACTCTCCTTTACTCCTCGCCTTATGTGTATGTGCGGTTTCTACCAAAATTGGATATTTCGGATGTGGATATGTTATATTAAGTAGTATGTGCATGACTGGACAAGATTCCCCTGGAAGCGCACTACCGGTTTCACCGCTCTCGCCGCTCGTCAGGCATGCGTATCTGGAAATCGTTTGTCAACTGCTTAAGCCCAGGAAGTGTATTTTCATCACAATAACCTCATTTGCAGCACCGGATAGTTTTGGATGGACAACTCTTTCTGAGCCAGTCCGTTGAAGAATCATTAGTATGATTCAATGTTTTGTAGGTAGATTACTAAACCCAATGAACTTGACTTAGAGATCTTTTCGAAGTATTTTTCAAGAAGTGGTATGTAAATGATTTGATTATATATATATATATATATATATATATATACATAAAATATATTATAATATCTAATATTGTACTTACATATTGATGACCATGGGCAACGAGTATCTATTCGGAACTTTATCTTCCACTGTATCGGTTTTAATTCTCTTGTTTCACTACCTGATTTGGCGCGACCGTATGTGTTCCGATGGATATAGTAGTTGGCGGAAAGTTACAGCTCAAAATTGGAGAATATTTGGCGCATAGAAGCATGAAAATTCATTCTTTCTCATATAAAATTATTGTTCTATGATGTTTTTGTTATCTGATACCCCAGCAACCGTCCAATTCGAAAAAAATATTCTTCTATGAGATAATTGATCAATAGAAGCAATAACATGAGTGGATACGATTTCAGGTATGTTGTTTCGCATAACTGAGCCTCAACGGGCCAGGAATTAGGGGTAAAAGATCACGAGATCGTAAAAGTTCGTTCAGTAATTGTATAACTAGAGATTGTACCATCATCTCCATCTTCCCCAATCCATTTTAGCTGTATGCCCCGTTCAATATCAATATTGTAGTCGTCCAGTTGGAGATTTGGGAACATGATCGGAGTCATTTGAAAGTGGAAGAGCATCATTTGTTGGCCACTTTGGCACAATTCAAACGAATGCACACGACCGTTCGTCATGATTGTCTACATGCTTTGCTGTGAGTTAAACTATGTCATATTTCGCGTTGCAAATTTCTCCGTTGCATACGTTCGTGTGTCTATTTGTGCGAAAAATAGGTAATCAAATAATTTTTTCATTCCCTATCCTTCTTCCGGCATCTGCTTCATGAATATGTGGTTCACAATTGACAGAGATTTGAAGCCAGTCCTCATTAAAGTTGTTTTATAATCAGGACCTCCGGGATGACGAATCATTGAAAACGGTTGTTCGCCTTTAAACCTGTGTTCTAATATTATAACAGGTGTATTATGGAACGGCACAATATGTATGTCCAGAAGTAACCCAGGCTGATTAAATATCCTTCCTCATGGTTGCTGTGACCAAGCGGTTATTAGTTTTCACCGGCTTAGGACTATCAACAGTTCAATCGTCTCACACCTAGTGGAATCAAACCGCGTAGTTGATGTGGTCCAGGCGTTTTGAACTATCTGTTTAGTTCGCGACCGTCTATCTAAGGGGATTAGGAATTACATTTCGGACCAGAGCAGAAACGATCGGAATCCGCTCCCCCAAAACAAGAATACTCAGTTTTCCATAGCCAACACCACACACACGACACGGTCATTACCTCGACCCACCGCCGAAATGACTCGAACAAATGCGTAGTGAAGTTGCAATGCTTTCAACTGAGTCATCATTACCCGCGTAAGGTTAGTGCTCAGATGAGTGAAGTATGTTGCCCGTAATAAGCTCGCAAAGACGAAGTGTGCCTCATCACATAAAGGCAAAGTACAAAACGGTCTGATCAGGTGCTCGGTGGTCAAGGTTGTGGTGAGTTCTTGAACTCACGATCCTCAGTTGGGTCGCACTGGTGATGAGATATAGTTGTCCAGCGCTTCGTGCACGAAAACACATGAATCTTTTCCAGATAAGCCCCCCCCCCCAAAAAAAAATGAACCCCCGTCACCCAAAAAAGATTAGAAAAAAGAGGATATGAAATTTGTATTTTTAGTTTTTATTGAAGATGGTGAAATTGGGACATGTCATCAATAATTTGCATGAAAAGGTCCGTTTTTCGGTACCTTTGCTTCCAAACGAACTCACACAAGTAGCTGTCCACTAAAGATTGGTGTGTACTACATTGGTATTTATTCTGCATCTTGTAGACGTGCCAAAGAGATTCGATTCAATTCCTTGGTATGATGCCCACATATCGGTGCAGATGATTGGGTCGGGAACGATGCAGGCCTAGATTGTGTCCATCAAAGTGGCCGCAGTTCGATCTGGCACTGCATGCATGAACACCTCTTTAGTTTCCTGGCAGATCCCTCCGAAAATTCACTGCTGGGGAAGGACTCGCCCTGCGTGGTCTTTACGGCGAGATATTAGCGTTTCATCGATCTCGACGTGTAGACCAGGGCCGCTGATAACTGCTGGGGTCCGCAAAAGCCGCCAGGCGCAAAATTCTTCCAGTGAACAGTGGTGGTGGGGCTAATAGACAATTCCTCTGAGCAGAATTTGATTTTTACCAAATTTTTGGACCAGAAATAAATGAATAGAATTAGTGTCCTAAACTCCATCCTAGACCGCTCCAACCAAGTTCCCTTTCGAAGACCGGTTTCTTGCCGTCACTGTCGGGCATTACACCTCCACTGGTCAGAAACAGTTGAAAGTGTCATTTGGTGGCCATTGTTGCATAAACGTTGCTGATAGATCACTCCGTGGCTTTGCAAAAAACGTATTGCCGTCTCCTTGTCATGAACGACAGTTGGAAGCATCAGAAAGTTCATTTAAGGTTTTACGTCCGAATGGAGAAACGTTTTGCACAGACTGAGCCTAGATGCGGATAAGTAATTATTTTCATCAAAAATAGGTCAAAGTTGTGTGCAAAATGTAGCGGGGCTTAACTTTTCGCGCATGAACTTTTTGCATTAGTGGCAGGGCCTGTCTGGAGAAGATCTAAAAACATTACTGGTTACATAAGAAAAAAAACTGTAAAACAAGATAACACAGGCGCGAAATTTTGAACTAAGAAGGCGGGAGTAAAATAAAAGCAACAAAATAAACGGGAAACATTAGCTACTTGGACCAAGTTAACCACATACTCTTAGTATAACCGGATTACTGTTCTCACACGTTTCTAGGACTGTGGCGAGAAGCCTCTTGTTTAACCTTCTAGTTCGGTTCATAGATGTTACCGGGACACGCACTTGAACACGGTCGTCGGGTCAATCCGATATCTGTTATCAACATCGTATTGTCAAATTCCACTGTTATTTTACCCTTAATGATGAAAGTCGTATGCTATTCCATTGTGACAGGGGCAATACAAGTGCATTTGAATTGATATCAAACGAAAGAGTGGCAGACTGATTGTTGAGCTGGGCACTGTTATCCTATTTTTATCTAGAGATTAGGTTTGCATGTTGTACAATGGTCAGATAATGATAAACTCAGTGATGCTTGTTTATATTTCTTCGGAATTCGCACCTTGTTCCCATCGTTTTTCCCAATCAGTAGATCACGTGTTCTGTGAATTACACATCATTCCGCCAGTGGCGTCGTCCCTTGGTTCCCATAAACCCAAATCGTTCGCTTATATCACCCCGTATGAAACGTCTTAATTCGGCGCATCCACATCCACCTGACATTGTGTTATAATGTTTTATGTTAAGTGTCAATCTGTAGTGTAATGCGTACAAGTTCCAATAGGTATGTTTATGCAATTCTGAAATACATTCATTACACATTTTGGTGCCATACAAATTCTCATCTGATCAATTGGCATTCATTCCCACTGCGTACTTTTCTCCCCCGCATTCCTGAACCCGGTTCATGTGTTACCGGCTCTGTTTCTCGCCGGTTTTTTTTTCTTTGGTACTGTACAGCGGAATCAAAGATGAGGCGTCCCGAACCCGGGGCAAAGCAAATCCGCAGACAATGTGCGTTTACTCTCGATGTGTAGGCTACAGCCGGGTAAGCGATGCATCTCACTTTTTAGCGCGTTCTTTTGGGCGTATGATGATGATGATGATGATGATGATGATGATGATGATGATGAGAATGATAACTCCACATTAATATTCCGGGTTTGTTTTACCCCTCCCCTCTACCTCGTCCCTCCATCTTGGAGTGAAAGGAAACAATGATAACGCTGGAATTTTCCTTTCCCCGTCTCTCCTCCTATTGACTTTTCTCTTTTTTTTTTTTTGTTGTTGTTGTTGAAAAAGACGCAAGACTTCACTCTGTTACGTCCTATCATACCAAGACTCAAGTTGATGTAAGGCATGCACACCTTTAGTCTGCATACGTAATCAGATAGTGGAATATTGTTAGAGAGATACCCGACAAGTCACAAGTGAGAACCATTTGCATTCGAGTATCCGAATGGAGGTTTTGTGACCGATCAGCTTCATATCCGTAAACAGGACCAAGAGAAATAGAAGAGAAATCTCGAAAACCATGTCGTCTCGTTCTTCGTCACCCCGAACACACCAGTACTGTGCTCATTTATTTGATTTAAACGGATACAGGAATTTCCATACATGAATAAAAAGAAACCATTCTCGTTAGACAGGCTACGGCCATAGCTGAACACGTTTTTGTCCCATGGGAGAACCAGTCCGTGTGGGAAGAGAGGGGGGGGGGGTAGGGTGGGGTGAGGGATAATCATCTCTGTACATGCGTAGTCGTGACGTCGTCTGTCCGATCCCACATTAAACATGCTTTTGTTATTTCGTTCCCCTCAACAGGAAAAACACAACTACTACTGTTGCACTCATGACAGTCAGTCAGATCGTCAAATACATTCCACTGCAGCATTTCCGTGATACATGGGTTCATAATCCCCCCTCCCCTCCTTGGAAATCTTCGATGAACGAGGACTAGTGATACTATCGATTGCCGAGCCATAACCTGGATGATAATTCCGCTATCATCAGAGCCGATTGACCGATATTAAGATTTCCAGCGTAGGATAGTTTGTCTTAGTTAGTTAGTTAGTTAGTTAGTTAGTTAGTTAGTTAGTTAGTTAGTTAGCATAGAAACTGTTGCGCAAGAGTGTGTGACACGGTTATGACGTGGTTGGATCGATTATTTACGGATATACATGTTTATGTCCTAGGTGAATTCCATCAACTGGTCAATAAAATTGCTGCCGGTTCGTTCAGTATCCCCACTGAATATTTTCTATTTATAACCAGCGGGCTGAACAACAGCCTCGCGAAGCGGTCGACCATCCACATTATCATCTTGTGCTGCTGGACTAGCTTCGTGATACGCACGCACGCACGCACGCACATACGCACATGCATACAAAACAGTTTAGAAAAATCTCCTATACACAGTCTCATACATATGTGGTGGATATCCTTGGGGATCGTGTTTTTAACCTTCTGTCGACAATATGTGATGTAAAAGGTCAGTTTTTGAACTCGCACGACTTCGATTTTTTCCGTAGACATTTCCGTTGATTTTTTTTTGAAAAACCGTTGGTTGAATTTGTTTTCACCACAACGAACAGATTGATTTATCAACCGAAAGAGGGGGTGGGGTAGACCAAGTGAGACTGTCAGTTTTATCGCATCCTTTGCTTTGATCTGGGTTACTGATATCGCATTTCGGGAATCTCGAAAAGAAGCACGGTTTGATGATGATGCCACAAGAAAGCACCAATATGAGAGCGTTTTGGTGCACATCGACGAGGGTGGTTTGATTTCCCGACACACATATGCTCGCCTGACGTGGCATGTTGAAGGCTGTTTTGAAAGTGGAACCTGAACGGTTAAGAGATGCTGAGTGGCGGTATAGCAGGTGCGCTATGCTACACTCTTCTCGTATAGAGGAGGGTGGGGGAAGTGGAGTTCTCATGCGATTCGTCCAGGTCAGGTTTCATGACCCCATTGAGCGGCCATCTACATTGCCCAGTCAATTAAATCAGAAAATGTTCACGCTAATGATGGCAATGAAAGCGGGATCGAAATTTCACTTCCATTCAACTGATGTCATCAGAATTTTTGGCAACAGTTTTCCGCAGCAGCAATATCTTTCACTGGGGGGCTATCTCTCTGCAGTTAGTTCGTGAAGTGATTGGTGATTATCTGATTGATCTGTTGGTGGACCACGCTCATTCAGAGAAAACAACTCTCGTCAACAAATGAGAACCATGATTAAAATCCAATTCAATTGCCAGACATTGTAGTGAACTGTCTGTCGTGTGTGTTTGTGTTTGTTTGTGTACTTATGTGTGTGCACGTAATAGATATAGGCAGTGCCGTCATAAATCATCCGGCTTCCAAATCTCCCACGTTGAATACTTTTACAGTGTCATTTGCTTTTTGTCTTGATTAGCGAAATTTCTATCCTATCGGATCCAACGGTATTAACAGATTCTGGCGAATGGGAATTCATTTTGATCAACTTATTGTGTTATTTACTCCAGCTCCTTCCTTCTATGGTACAACGCATGGAGTATTTACTTCTCCTGAAATTCATTATCTGACTTTTCTCTCCCGTCGTTTATCATACCACTTGTCCGGGACAAAAAACCAACCTGATTGTCCGTTCAAAGGACTCCCCACGGATCGAGATAGCCGAGACAGCTCGCACAATCGCGCACGAGTTAGGGCACAATTTTGGATTACGTCATGACACGGAGGAGTGCAAATGTCAGCGATGTATCATGGCCACCGGTGTCGAGTAAGTTCACTGCTCACGTGTTCGCATATTTGTCCATTCTAAATATAATCCAATGAACTGACTGTGCATGCGTATACGATTCTGTGGGTCAGTTGGTCACGGAACACTAACAATGTGTTGTGGTTTTTTTATTGATATTCGTTCACCTGTTCTTTAGATACTTACGAATACCCTTCTTTTCATCATATGATGCAGCTGTTTTTTTTTTGTTTGTTTGATCGCTTCGTTAGTTTTTTTGAAAAAAAAATGATTTGTAAATTCATCTTTAGCACGGATCAAGGGAAACTGGTTATCTCTGTATTCATTCTATCTGGATTAGATGTCACGTGATTTACGTGAACGGTGTACCAGCACAAAACAAAGCTCTGGTCCGATGAGATTGTCCATGGCCGTTTATCGTGATCGTTTTAATCGCTACAGTTCCGGGTATCGGTTGAGTTGCTGCTGCATGTTCTCCACGTGTTCTTATGAGTCACTCAATATTCCGTTCACTTCCTCGAGAATATTTTGTCCGCCTGAGCTCCACGGAATTTGCTCTAATTTCAGACACCTCTTCTTTCACACGAATTTCGGATCACCTTCAAAAACATTTCCTCTATTCACTGATTTGTCTCCAATCCGTACTCTCACGAGACACCTGTTCGGCATTGTTGGTTTACGATCACACTGACAATTTCGATTTGTGGTTGACCACCCATCGGCATGCACACACACACGTAGATGTCAGACACAGACACACAGAACTTGACTAAAAAATGCCACTCCTGTACTGCGGCTTCTTCATTTGCGAACAACTAGGTCGTGTATGACCAACTCGGCTCAGAGCGCTTCATAAATTTATTTCATAAGGTGTATTTATTATAATAATGAAAAAAATTGACAATACGAAGCCGGCGTGTGTTGATAGACGTGGGATAATCGTGTGGATGCAAATGATTTGGCAACTTGAATTGGCTCCACATAGATGCACACCCTCCCCACACACATATACGTGTCGTCGTTTGTCAATAGCAAAATGAATCTCTGACGCTTGTAATATGTCCTGTCTGTACATGCGAACCGCTCGGTGATGAATTAAATCACTCTTCTTGTCATTTAGTACTTAGTGTGTGTGTGTGTGTGTGTGTGTGTGTGTGTGTGTATGCGTGCATATGTAGCAGAAGCTAAGCGCACTGAACGATACGGCGGACGCTGTCCGCTTGAGTCTTTCTCTCTCCCTCTCTCTCTCTGTCGACGCGCCGGGATCACTTACGGTTCCCCTCTTCACAGTGTTAGCAGTTTAAACAGATTTAATTGTCCCGTTTTGTCATGATTCGATTGCGGTAATAGATGCGGTCTTTTTTAATTTACCTGTTTCATTGTTCTCAATGTCTACTCGTGAGACATGCATAGGCATGTCTTGTATAATTATAATAGCAGTCCGTACCTGTCTGCTTAACACCCATGTATTATCAAGTTAAAACTGATGATAATCCGGGTAATCTATCGTGTCCAACCACATTTCCTTTTTCGCTCACGTCCGGGTTTAGGGTCCTCACAGTTCTGGGTACAAATACCACGGACATGGATTCAGCATTCAATCATTGGTTGTCGTGGTTTTCAATGGTACGCAAAATGTGGGAATCACACAGTCCGCGAATTATTGCAAATTGGAAGCACTTTGATAATGTACAATACTCTGACCCAAGACGATTATTTACTGTTGAGAACATTGTTCAAGTTATGTCAACGTTTCGAACCCACATACGGAGTCAAGTACATGGTTTTCGTACCTTAGCATGTTACTAGCGCGTTCAATGTTCCAGTGTGCACTGAAAAACTCTCAGAAACTGGGCAACCCGTGACTTTATGTAAATTATCGATGCGAATTTGATGGACATGGGTGGGAACAGATCAGTGTTTTCCAACTCTGTCAGCGTGTGCGAGCGTACGCTCACGCTCCAGAGAGAGAGAAACGTTGACAACGAATCCTGCTCGGTAGTTTTTAAATAAACTTCAGGAGGGTCCTCCCCCCCGACCTCCTCTACCCCTCGGATCTTATCGATAGTCGATTTTGATCAATCGAAATCGCTCTGTGTGTGCGTGTGCGAACAGTGGGAGATTTCCGTGTGTCCGAGATTCGAATACAGTGTAATAAACAAGCTTGTTTTGTGTTATCTGTCCAAAGATAGCATATTTCTAAGAACTCTTGGAAGTCTGAGGTAGCTATCACACATCCTTATTGGGAATGGTCAGACCTAGTTCGGATTCGAATCCGAAAGGTTATGAATGCAGTCGACCATCCAATAGGCAATTCGGATTGCCTCCCTGTATGTAGTTCACCTCACTACCCTCGATTGTTGCACACGATTATGACTTCCCTGGTGTAGACGTTGTCAATCGGGACCTGCAGTTGTGACTGAGCAAACAATGTGGCTAACTTTTGTCCGATTAGACGACACGTTCAGTTCGAGATGTGAGGTTGTTTAACAGTGAGCTATTTTTTAGGGCTAACTATCCCGTAGTTTCACCTTGACAACACCGGGAGTCTCCTAAACAGTCGTTACGAGTCTAATGATTGTATGACAAATATGGTGTATCATCAGACTGCGGGCATTTTACACCCACATACGATTGAAAACAAACCGACGAAGGCAGGATGTGTTGCGTTGGCTGGGCCTAATGGAGACCATTTTTATGTTTCCCCACACTGATGTCAAAGCTATTGCAAGTAGGCTGCTGGGTTTTCACATCCCAGCTCCTCTGGCATGAGCCACTGTAGAAGAGCCACCTCTCCATTGGAACTCATACATGTGCATATGCAATGAGATTGGGTTGAACGGCAGTCTAAACGCTCAAAACTGAATGAACGATCCTTAGGATTTGAGAAATGATACCGAGGTTGTGTTATTCCACTGGATGTGTGCAATGATCACATGGAAACAAAGCAACCTGCCTGTTCTTACTCGGGGTGGGTGAACCGAATGATGAACAGTGTTCACAAGGTCAAACAACGGTGACTGTGAAGTGATTAACTGAGTGGCGATCCGTCTTTTCGGTTTCGTTACACTTTTACCTCCACACATGGTCACCTGCTCACGTCATGTGTTCCTTCTGTACTCCTCTGTTCAACAGTGCTCCCTTATTTGGCCCCTACTCGATCAAGACATGTGCAGCAGTTTGTTGAATATCTCACCGCATTGTGCTGCGTTGTGTTGTGTGCCTCGTCAAGTCAGTCGTCAATATACAGAGTAATAGACTACTTCAGAGATGAAACAGTAGATACAAACGCATGTATGATATTTCTTACCGTCTCTTATTTTGTCCTCCGTTTTCACTGATTAACGTTCAGACTATACTCCCTCTCTCTCTCTCTCACACACACACACTATGCCCAGGTTGTACAGTCAACCGTACATTCGAGGAACAATAGACGATAGTTTCACTCCTGATGAAACTCATCAGTAACCGTGAACTGTTCTCATAGTAGGTGCATGTCCGTGTTACCGCTGGCAGTTGGCTCACACCGGGGATTGCCAGAATAATCTAGTGACGTTTCTTCATGTGTATCCTTCCTTCGGAATATTTGAAGCAAATTCCGGCATGAGGACCGGTTCTCGCAGCTCGGATGGAGAAGAACTTCATTTTTAGAAAACGTTGCAAACTTTTCAGCATCAGTTAACGTGACTTTTTCAGTCGTGTGAATTGGCTATATATACACGCGGGCGGTAAAACCCTGTGTCCTTTATATGAAGTCGACCATGCATTCGAACTCTCAATGGTTCATTTTAAAACATTGTATCCTCATTGGTGCCGCCAAGTAAGAACCCCAAGAGTTGAGAGTAGGATGAATTTTACCACTAAACCTTTGAGGTATCCAGTTCCATGATGTTCATTCAATTCGGTTATACGATTCCAGTGTGACCTACATTGTGACGCGGACTATTTCAAATGCATATTTCACAGTGGAAACTGGTGTATATAAAGCGAATGCGCACATTTCAGCTACATCCTTCTATTTAACTTGTTTCATTCCTCTTTCAACCCTGGCTTAGCCAGAATGCAGAGAACAGATCCCTATATCGTTGATCGATGAACGAATTATTGGTCAACCCAGCATTTCTCTTTCGAGTACACTATGCGAGATAATAAAACGTCCACTTGGTTTTATGATACGTTTGCTTCACACCGTATTATAACAGCAATGCTACTTGCGGCTACTGATGCATTGCTTGTGTGAACCCAAACACATTTCCTCCTTGGGCAACGACAATCATGTTGCATTCAATTTTTCTAAGGTTTCGCTTCTTTCAATTTCTCTAAAACACTGCTCATTCGCCCTCCCCTCCCCTCTTATATTTCGATTCCACCCAACTACGTTC